GGTGAGGCCTCATGTTGTCGCGGAACAGAAAAAGAAGAAGAAGAGGGAGGAGGCGAGCAGTAAAGCAATTGAACTAATAAGCTTTTCAGTTGCTGTCATGTTCAGCTATCTAAGTGAGTAGCTGACATATGTTTGGAGAGGATGCCATCCGTTTGTCCACCATTTCCATCACCCCAGTCACCTGGACTGAGCAGGATATTGGAGTGAGGAGGTTTGCAAATGAGATGTAGCCTGATCTGGTGGGCATGAGAATGCAGGTGAAATGGGCCGCATCGACGAGCTCTCTGGAAGTTTAAATCGGACAGACAGAATTCATGGAGGGGAGTGTCATTGTCATGTATTGATCTGCTCCATCGTAGTGAGTTGCCCACCCCACATATTCCACCTCAACAATTAGTAGGACTGTGCATCTAAAAGAAGAGAGATTGAGAATTGTCTCGTTGAAGGTATCTGTGTGAGGCCTGCAACAGTATTTAACCTTTCTGGATGCTAGGATGATTTGGTGGTTAACAAACTAACCTTCACTTACTTCGCAAGAGCCTGTTAAAGTAAGCTATGCTGTGAGATACGTTTCACGCCTTTCTTTCATCTTCCTAGTCTTCACCCATGTGGGGTGAAGTACACGGTAGACATCATCTCGTGGCTTTGGTTTGTTCACATTGATGTATGATTTACTCACTTTTTCGAGTATTTATAGATGTGGGTGACTTGGAGCTCCTAATCAGCGAGGGCCTCGTTGATAAATTGATGGGTACGAGGACTTGGAAGGTAAAGTCAGACAAACACGCTGCCTTTACAAATGAGTGGAGTGTTGCCACCTCATTTCGATACTTGGGTGTGTGCGTGTAGACCGATGATTTATCAGCTTGTGTTCAACATACAGAATGCAATCACCAGTGATGTTGCGAGGCTGCCACCGACCTTGACAGCACCCTTCAGTGTGGTTAATATGACAGAGAAGGTGTTGGGTTAACATTTCAATTCTCCAAGCCGTGAGCCAGGTTTGTCAACTCAATTTCCTTTTATCAATGGAAGAGTGTGACAGCAGAGGCTGTTGAGAGATATATCAAAGTCTTTGTACGTACGTATCTATGCATATGTGTGTGTGTGTGTGGGTAGTTGGGTGTGTGTGTGGGTAGTTGGGTGTGTGAGTGGGTGTGTGTGGTTGAGGGCGTGTCGAAGTGTTGGTAGGGTGCTAACAGGTAGGTGAATCTGTCACGCCTAGTTGGAATCCCTACCTGACTGATTGGTTGGCTTAATGGTAAAATGGACTTGGGATGTGCGGTCTCTGAGCGCAGTGCTTCCTTTCCCTTGCTTTAACAAGAAATAGGAGAATATAGCAGTGGTGAATTAGACCTGACAGTTTGTCATGGCTGTACGTGGAGGCGATGAGTTGGTGCCTGGTACACTAGAGAATGCAGCGAGTGTTAGGATAGGAGAGGATGCGCCAGGTGTGCGTCCTGTAAACCAAATGTCTTTTGTCTTGCTCTGAAGAAAGCAAGGTTGTTGGTAAGTCATTTTGCACGTGTGTGCATTACGTGGAGCAAAGTGGTCTTTGTATGGGATGTTTCATTTACATACGCAATGGGTGAGCATTCAGAACTCATCGCTAAAAGCTTTGATCTTATCTGTTTGGGTTCACAGCACAACACAGCACAGCACATCACAACAGCGTAGAGATACCGAAGATTGTTTGTTGCCATCATAATTGGGCCGTATAGGGTCCTGCTTCCTCCACGGCCACTTTGACAATAATGTTATCTCAATGGTGATGTGCCACTCGAAGCGCAGTGAGGGGAAGCCATGAACGGCGAGTGTGGAAGCGCAACAGTTGTCTATTGATTGTTGTATGGTGTCTTTGACTTCCACCGGGTGCTCCATGATAAAATTCGGGGCCAGAATGGATGTGTGCGATTAAGTAATATCTCTTTCGTTATTCAATTTATTTTGAAAGATATTTGCCTATCTCCAATGCCATTTGTGATTGAATGGAGGGGAACCTAGTGCGGGAGAAGTAAATGCTTCTTCAGCTATCTACTGCTATATCTCCATAGATGATTTTTTGTCCACCTTACACTTTGCTACGAGTGGGGGCAACTATGTGTCATTAAGGCACCTCTTAGTGGTGTTCCTCAATGGGGTAGTTGAGGCTAATCATTAGAGGAAAAGAAGTGTCCAATTCATGCAGACACTCAGAGCGATTGGAGGAAATTACATTGTGAGTGAAACAGTCATTCAAAAGTGGATAATTGTCCCCTAACGGATGCGTCGGTTCATCATTTGGTACCGCCTACGGTACTCATTCATCCGTCAAAGAGGCAAACATCTAGAAATTAACGTTTCTCTAACCAAGCGCCTATTAATTCACCCTAGATTCATGCATCTACCTAATTATCCATCGCGCGTCCACGTACTCATCCATCCATCACGTATCCTTCCATCCTGTACTCGCCCTTTATCATCCACCCATCTATAACACTGGGATCACTCACGGTTAAATATTATTTGCTTTTTGAGTACCGTGTGATTAAAGCAGTGTGCTATTTAAATTCATCTTACATGTTCCCTTTCACTCTATCTTATTATTTGTCTCATAATCCGTCCCAAAACTCCCTTCGCCACATCTACCCTTCCGCCTTGAATTCAGCTTTCCATTTATATGTCATCTATTACTGGTCTTATCATCTACCCATCTACCCTAAATTCGCTTGTCAATAAATAAAGACCTTGATCTCACATTTGCTCTTTTGATCAAGCAGGTATATCAGCTGAATCACAACTATTAAACCTCTCAAAATGTTTACCTGTTGTGACAGTCGCTAATCTGCAATTCAGTAGTGCATTATCACATGCATTCGCACGCACGCACGCACTCAGGTACATATACACTTGCAGAGAGGTTTACGCAGCAATACCTGGGGCGTGGCAGAGTCATGCAGATAATACGTGTGCCTTTGATCGAGTCTCTTGGCGGTAGTCTGTGTACATTGTGTTGCTTTGGTTTTTGCTCTCGAGCCCTCACACACCCTCCCTCACATTTATTCACCCCCCTTTCCTCCCTTTCCCCCCTTCACTCCATACCTCTTGTTGCCGTTGTGGCCTTGAAGTCCGTAAATCGCCACACAAGACGACGTCCGAGAGGTCGTGACCGTAGTGGTCGAATGCGTGGTAATATGGCCTGATTTGCATTACTTTAATCACTTGATAGTTCTGTGACCCTATTTTGGCCGTTTTACCGCCAGTTTTATGCTATTAGCCAGACTCTGGACACCGAGACGTCACTCTTGTCAAATCTGATGGGAAAATTTTTCACTAATTTGATCATTTACACAATCATTCCCTCACCCATCCATGCATTACCATTACCTAATCCAACCACTAATAGACCTATTCACCCACCCATTCCTTCATTATCCACCGATTTACCTCTTCTCGGGGCAGCTGCCAAGGCAGCCAGCCGTTTATCTTTAAATTGTCCATTTAATATCATAGCCACTAGTGTTTAGATTGATCAATTCCTCCCATTTTCCTTAAATGGGACCTTAGCAATCACCAATTACTGCCAGATGATGTCGCCATTTAGAATGGGTTCTTCGAAGCCCTTTAATGGGGTCACTCAGGTTGGTAGTGTTCTGAAAAGCAGTGATGAAACTTTTCGTCAAAATTTAGCTTGAAAGTGTGCAAATCCTTGACATCGCGTGCTTTCATGGTTAACTTTCAATAAAGGTTCCCACGGTCCCAAACAGAATATTCCAACTACCTGATGTGTTTGCGACCCAGTCGTCTGAGTTTCATCAGCTGCTTGGATGATCTTTGGGTGGAAAAATGGTCAAGTCATTGAAAAATCACTTTTGTCCATCCAAGAGGTAATTGTTTTACTCAGCAATTGATGAATTTGTTTATTCGAACTTTAGCTTGTTCATTCATCCATCCATCTCGATTCGTCCTTTCTTTATTCATTAAATCATCTCGTCCATCCATCAGTCAAACCCCGACCTACCGATTTATCAATTTATTCCTGGGCCAATGCAAACTGTTTGTAATTCACTCCTTTGCCTACTCAGTATTCATATTAATTTCTGTTATATCTCTAAGTTATCTATCCACCGTCCATCCATCCATCCCCCCAGCTATCCCATACCCATCCATCCATTTAGTCATTTGCCATCATTTTTATGCCTACAAATTCTCATCCACTTTTCTTTCATTAACTTCAAATGATAACGTGCTGAAAATCATGGATTCGATTATCTCTGAACCACTGTTAAAGGGAAGAACTTTTGTAATTTTTTGGAAAGTTGAGGTATTTAAAGGTCCTGTGAAATGATTTATTAACATGATCCATGCTAACAGAAGTAAAAACGTAGAGTATATTCTCACACACAACGGAGGTAAGGCATGAGTTAGTGCGCATGCACAAACTTGCTGCCTGGGAGTGCGATTTTACAACTAAATGATGAAATTATGAAATGACTTTTCTGGATTGCGTCCCATTAACCAACTGTCTATGTAACCTTTTCTTGGGACCTTCTAATGTCTTCTTTCACGGGTAATCTAGAGTGTGGTAAAAGTATGTCTAACCTAAACACCTAAGCGGAAGTAGCAATGCTCGAAATTTGAGGCCTCTTTGAAAATCTGCAATTTACCGATTTGCAAGATAGGAGGCTAAAATCAAATATTGGCATTTGTTAAATCTCTTCAAACAAATGAATCCTTCTGGATGCATGTATCAAAGGTAAGGGAAAGAACCAAACAGCAACAAATCAAATGTAGCATTTCAAGTCGGTTTGATTCTTTGGTGAATGTAAAAATTTGAAATTTCGGGAAAAGGTTACAGAAAATAAATAAAGTTAGATATTGAACAAGAAATTGGGATGAGGTATTATTTACCTTACAATTAGCCTTCAAGTCAAGATGTGACTTTGGTGTTCACCCACGATCACCGAAAAAAAAGCATTTCACAAGGAGTCCAAACACCTCTTCGCTTTTTGTACAGCCTACTATTTCTTCTTCCCCGCCTTCTCCTCCTAACGCATTTACATACCTACCTCATTGTTTAGACAGATTTATTAATATTATTGAACCACTTTGGTACGCCATACCGTGCTCATCGGAAGTGGAAAGCTGCCTTCGATTCCAGAGAGTGTTGTATTGTGCTGGGCTATGTTGTGTTGGGTTGGGTCAGGTTCAGCCCTCTCACCAGTGGCGTTCTTCACCGGCGTTTCATAGCACAACAGGTCATGCGGTGGTAGACCCGACCTTTCACATAGTGATGTGACGTAGTGCAGGGCACCGTCAAAATTTTTAGAAAAGGCCATTGAAACATCTACATCATCAAATTTAAAGTGGTAATGCTGAGCACCTAGGCATCCCATCACCTTCTCGTGTAGTTCAATGTCCTCTAGTGGCGTGCCCTACAGCACTGTGATTAAAGTCCACCGCCGATAGGAATAGCCATCCGCAGGCTCCGTTTTTGCGCCTTTGTCCACAGATGACTTCGCTCAGCATTACACTCAGTTCCACACAGCTCCACCCACACGGGCACACACTGCCGCTGTTGCCAGCCCTAATCCGTCTTCGACACCGTGTGCGTTGGCCACAAGCAATAGGGCAGGCCTTCCACCTACTACTGCCTGCAATGCCACCGCGACAGCATTCCAATATGTAGAGTCTGTCTTAAAAGCCTCTCAGAAAATGAACTTAAAACGTGCTCCTTTCTGCCACGTCAGAAAAGTTGCCTTTTGCAATTCATTAAAAGCTTGAATCAGGATGATAAAGTTTGTTTATAGTTCCGTGGGTTTCAAGCTATTTCATTTAAACACTAAAATATTCATAATTTTTCAAAAACTTATTGAGACTTTATTGCCTTAAAGGTCGAAGATAAGATGCAGAAAATATTTTTATCAAAATATGCTACTTATTAACACAAATCTGTTATGAAAAGCACCACCTAGCATGATGACTGACTGAGGTCAAAGCACAGTTAAACCTATGATATTTCAGCTAACTTGGATCATCTGAGCAGATCACATTGTCACTTTTTGAGTTCAAATTTTGGGTCTCCGCAGTCGTCAAATATAGCGATTTGCGAATTTGTGTGCATTGATGTATTTACGGATCCTTACGACCCATGAAAGGCCACTGTCAAATGATGATCATGTAGATAGCCCAGCAGAGATTGGTGTCGCGGCCAAAATACTCCACGAAAAAGCGGAATTGCGTAAAAATACTGCTAGTCGTCTTTCTCTTTATTTCATTGCTGTATCCAAAGGTCTAATTTCAGTGAATAGGGAGGCAAATCGAAGTAGCGAAGCAAAACTTGGGCCTTAGTGTGAGAAAGGTTGTGCATAGGATTCTCACGAGAGGAGGAAAATAGTAAAACTGCAGTGAGTTGCACCTCGAATACAATCGCCTCTGGTGTGTAGATTGAGTGGCGTGCCAAGCCATGATTTGACTCAAAAACAACACACCTACAGCATTGACTTAGTCACTCAGTTTACGGCGTTGCAGTCTTCACTTCGGTTCTACCTCACGTTAAGTAAAATCCTCCGGGCTGGTTTGGCCTTCTCTGTATGCAAGAGACAATGGAATTAAACCGAGACTTTGACATTTACAGCTGTAAAAAAGCGTGCTACACACAATAATATGTGACAATCTGTTCTGTAACAACATGTCTACGCACATTTTGAGGACCAGTTTAGTCCGATTCAGACACCGTTAATCAGAATGGCAGCGATAGTGGGTGTGTGATTGGGCGGATGGGCGGGTGGAACAGGATGTAATGCTAAGCATGGTTACTTGCAGGCGAAGGCATGAAACCGGAACCTGTGGATGTGCATTTGTACCTACGGTGGACTTCAAGCACAGTGTGGAATGGCACGGTATTGCATGTCACTGCACAGCACAACACAGCGATGGGATGATCGGCTGCTCGGAATCACAACTTTGGCTTTGGTGATTTGGGGGCTCCCAAGCCGTAGGCGTTAGCGACGATCCCAATTGTCATAGCTCTCAGCCTACTACAATAGCAGGAATCCTATGGACATCTGCCTGTTTCTGGAAGCCCGATTCGTGCAAGGTACTCGATCTTTTGGGGGAATTCGATGACAGCCCCCCGGACATTACCGTAGAGTCCATTTTATCAGCATCCCTCACAATGACTTTCCCACTTGATGTAGATGTCAACCAATCGGATTGGAGCTCTAGTGGAATGTTACTCAAAGCTGTTCATTTATTACCATTAAGAATGGGAGGCTAATCATCATCTAACTTTCGGCAAATTAGCCAACAAAATTAAAACTTCCTAACCATTTTCGCACCTACTGCACCTTCTTTAAAGGCTCTACAAATTCTAGAAGCTTCTACGGCTCTGGAACCCACTTTTCTCGAGGCGAAAAACTATGCAAGGACACAACAAATGCTTCGAAAACCTCGCCACCTTTTTGATCACCTAATATCTTGCTATTTTCATTAATTACTTTTCCCTATTTACTGCTCTAATCCGATTCTTTCATTTTTGGTTTTAAAATTCCCCAAACTCAGCATTTGCGTTCTCTTCTATCTGGGTGATGAGGAGAAACTGTTACGATAGTTTTAAAACTGATACTATTTCCCGATTTGGCAGTTATTTTAGCCCACTTTGGGTTTCTCCTCTAACTATTTTAATTTACTGTTTACAGCACGAATTAATTAAAGTAATGGTGCCTCGGAAACTGAAAGGTGAAATTTGAGCGCCTTTAGGCAGTGTAATCACGTATATGAGAGGACGGGCGATTTCTAAAGCTACAAAATCTTCCAAATGTGTAACCATTTTCTTTCTAAAAATAAATACTGGTGGCTGAGGCCATGACTAGACTTACGGCCTATGAATGCACAAATATTCACATCTACACCCAGAACGCCACACCCTGTCATGTGCACGGGAGGCACCGATTTCACACTTATCCACCTCTCTTGGGCGGTTATAGAAGGTCTTTAAGGATGAACCAATGGGAGACAGAGACACTCAAGTAGGTTATTTGCCTCCTTCCAAAGTAATGCTTCTTTCCAATACCTTATGGAGTGCATTTTGGCATGGAGACGTATCTACCTAAATTTTAGATGTGCACCAATGAGAACGATGGCTTTATGAGTGACTGAGGGTGAGCCAGTGTGTGGGTGTGAGTGTGTGAAACGCTAATGACACATAACACAGCCTGAAAGAGACGTAATTTCAGCCACACAATGAACAATTATTGTAAATCTTTCCCAAAGTGTAAAACATGTTAAGTAGACACGCCGTCACTTATGGACCTCGAAAAAATAGAGAGACTGTTTATTATATATGGGATTCAAGATTTTATGAAAGAGTGCCCTGAAAAGAGTGATTGCATCGAAAGATGGATCGACGGGGCAATAGATGAATAAATGGGTAAAGAAGTGGGTGGATGAAAGATTAAACAAATGAATGGGAGAAGGATCTTCTAACGGAATGGATAGGCAGGCAGGTAGGTGGGTAAACTAATTTAACATTTCTGTTGCAATGTTTCAGCTTATAGAGCTAATTGGAATCATGTATTGCTACGTAAAATTACAAATTTTTTAAACTATGGAAATTCCCTACTCATTCCAATGGCGCTGCGTGCACATCAAACAGATGCCAAGTTTTCTCACGCTGAAGAGACACCCTCAACACACACGATTCACATAATCCAAGTCGAGGCAGAGTCACACTCACGCCCCCTGTCACGATTGTGGAGGGCCACACTTTCCTCACCCTCTTC